ATTGAAGTCAAAACTAATAAGGAACGAAAACAATGTTGTATTATCCTAACCCTACCCCTAACCCAAACCCTACCCCTACCCCTAACCCAAACCCTACCCCAAATCCTAACCCAAACCCTAAGCCTAACCCTAGGATGACAGGTAACTATATCATTTGTGTCATTCCCTCTTTACCACTCCGTATTTGCACTGCAGCCAAGGATGTGAACTCCGACTAAGCGATCGTCACCTTCCAGCTAGCGACCGTTATTTAAAGGAGAGCCAAAAATATTTGGCTATCCGCCGAATAATGGGCACGAAAGATGGCGGCCGCAAAATATCCTGACGAGCCTCAGTCACGTGTCATGTGTTATAAGCATTCAAAAATTGAAGTCAAAACTAATAAGAAACGAAAAAAATTTTATGTTAAATCGACTATTTACCAATAATTTTATGCCTTTATATCTGGAAATTATGGCACAGAAGTTGTAAATAGTGCCCGAAAATCTACTGTTTGTAGCTGTTACGCCATTGAAACTCAGCTAAATACGATCGGAACAAGACACGGCTCGTACCACATTTGTAGCGCAGCTTTCTTTTTAGTAGCATCCACAGACCGGCTATCCTCCGAATAACGGGCACAAAAGATGGCGACCAAAAACAGGTCCTCAGTTACGTGTCAGTTGCACACTTCTGGCGACTTAATTGCGACTACCGCCACCGCCGAGAGTATCTCCAACGCTGCTACGCGCGGCGTGGATTGGGGCTAAACTAGATGGCTAGGACTCACGAGCAAATCTGCAGGAGATGCGGAAACTTCTGCTCGTGGGTCCCAGCCATCTAGTTTAGCCTCATCCGCGCCGCGCGTAGCGGTGCGGGAGAGACTCTCAGTGGTGAGTTTAACTCGGTGGTTTGTTCCGTTTCTTGAAATTGTCAATAGACACTAATCCTAGTTTTCCCGCGATGTGCTTGTGACCGCAAGTGCGCAATTTACACGCGACTGAGGCTCGTCAGGATATTTTGCGGCCGCTATCTTTTGTGCCCGTTATTCGGAGGATAGCCGAATATTTGGCTGTCCTCAGGATAACGGTCCCAAATTATCGAGGCCGAAAATATACCCTAACAGGGCCTCAGTCACATGTAAATTATGGACTTCCGGCAACTTAAATTGCGGACTTCTGGTGACTACCGCCACCATCGAGAGTATCTCCCGCGCCGCTACGCGTGACGTGGATTGGGGCTAAACTAGATGGCTGGAACTCACTAGCAGCAGCTACCGCATCTCCTGCAGCTTCCTTCATTTTATTTGCTCATGAGTCCCAGCCATCTAGTTTAACCCGCTCCAAGCAGCGCGGGAGATACTCTCGCCGGTGGCGGTAGCCGCCTGAAGTCTGCAGTTTACATGTGACTGAGGCCCTGTTAGGGTAGATTTTCAGCCTCGATAATTTGGGACCGTTATTCGGAGGATAGCCGAATATTTTTCAAGTTCCTTGTTTTTATAGATCAGTTGGCAGTAGATTATGCCAGAGGCGCTAAAGCTGGTTTGGGGGGGGGGGGGGGGTTTCAAGCTGAAGCACTTAAAAACCCTCTCCCTCCACCTCCCGCCCCTTTCCAGAAAATTTGTAAAAGGCTTTAGCACCCACCTTCCTCTTATCTTGTTATGAGCTCCATTCCCCACTATTTGTAAGAATTATTTTTTCAGATTTTTAAAAAACATTTTATATAAAGTAAAGTAAAAAGTAAAGATCCCTTTTCACGCCTTTCGGAGCATCGGGCATATGGGCAGAGCGTCCCATATTTTACAGACCATCAGCACTCTGTGGGTAATGTGTTCAGCATTACGCCGGCTGTCTTTACTTTCCAAGGACAGCCCATCCTGGTACCCATTTTAGGCTGGGTCGACCTTGCGACGTCCCATACCACGACAAAAATCCACGCAGCCTGCAGTGGGTTTCGATCGCGGCATGCTGGCTTACGAGTAGGACTCGCAACGCCTTAGCCACGGAGGCCGCACATTTTATATTATTTTAAATATATTTTGTTTCCTATTTATAATTCGGCACAAAATACTAAAAATTATTATTATTACACACTTAAACATTTTATTGACAAGTGATAGTAGTAGTTTACTGTGCCTACTTTACATTTGTGATTGTAGTCCATTTTTCCATTTTATGTTTATTAACCCGTGATAGTAGTCCTGTTTGCCCACTTTAAACTTATGATTATGGTCCAATTGGACACGTCATGTTTGTTAACCCTTGATAGAAGTTCCATATGCCTACTTTATATTGATAACATTTGTGGTACATCTGCCAACCTTTTATTTATTAACTCTTTCAGGCCCATGAATTTTGACAGACTTGGCCCAGATTATTTTCTTTTTACAAAAATGGCAGAGGGTTGGGTGTACAAGAAAGGAAATAGTAAATGAAATACTTCCAATCCTAATAAAAACATATACATTTTTAAAGAGAAATGAATGTACATTTTGAATTTGATTATAAGTGTCTGTTTCATTTGTTTACAGTTAGTAGGAAAGAGGAATTCAGCAGGTGTTAATTTCACAACATTTTACAAACAAATTCTTCACTCACCATGATTTTGCAGCCACACGAGTAGTGAATATCCAAATTTGAGAACAAAACTTCAAATTTTGTTCAATTTCCTAACAAATTCTAAAGTTATAAGTTTCTGGATTAGTTTAGGCACTCTGGGATTCTTGGTTATCACAGAGTGCTGAAAAAAATGTAAGAGAAAATATGGCAGAAAAATGAGCCATTACACACACGCTATTTACTTTGTACAGTTATATACAGACTGTAACTGCGAATGATTTCAATGTAGCTTAGCCATAGTATAGTACAATCTCTTTGTTTAAAGCACTTTCCTTCTCTTACACCTTAAATACGGTAGCAATGGGACATTGTCTGTGTAATAAACTCATCAGATTCGCTAGATTCAGGACATTGTCTGTGTAATAAACTTATCAGATTCACTAGATTCAGTACAGCTGATCCCTCAGCTTCGCTGATAAAAATGCCCCGTCCGAATCACTTTCCGAAAAATCTAAATTTTCATTATGATTATCAGGATTAAAAACATCTGACTGAAACAATTTCAGAGCTTCGGCCGCAAAAAGATGCATTCTGCGACCTGTACTTGTGGTGGGAACATTGGTATTCATGGCACTCGAAAACGAACTTATAAAATGCATGTGTGATTACTGACAGGGAAAGTATCTGAAAGGATTTCGGCAGAGTGACTTTCCCTGAATAGTTTAATCGTACTTCCAAACATTAGTAACAAGTACGGAGCCGTGTGCGAAGCAAAATGTATGGGATACATGATCGACGATGACAGCGTTGTTTGGGCAAAACGGAACTTCTCAATCAACGCTCACACCATTGCTTGGGTCTCAAAGAGTTAAATAAACCCATGATAGTGGTAGTCCATTTTGCCTTCTTTACATTAAAACAGTGGTAGTCCACTCTAGTTTGCTTACTTTTTATTTATGCTATTAGTAATATACTTTGCTAACTTTACAGTAGTTAAACTATGATAGTTGTAGCCTGCTTTGCTAACTTTACATTAGTTAAACTATGATAGTTGTAGCCTACTTTGCCTAGTTTACATTTCTCAATCCTACTGGCAGCAGAGATGTTGTTTGTGAGAAGAATGCAAAGAATCTACTATAATTATAAGAAAAAAACAAAGCAATCAACCTTTAAACACAGTAAAACTAGAAGCTGAGAAATTAGCCAGTCAGGGTTGTTTGGACGTGTTAGAAGAAGAAATGGACTTGAGAACTTTGTGGATTGTTTGGAAAAGAGCGAGGGAAGAGCAAGAAGATAAATACCTGGATGGCTTGACCATATGGATTGTGTGAGACAAAAGCACTGACCTGATCCATGATTCTGGTGACCATGGGATATGACTAACCATGACCACCTACAATTATCAGCACGGCACATGAGGATGATGAGTCCAGTTTATCTTCTTATTATAGTTCATGTGAATTGCCGTTGGTAGTCATATCTATCCACAACCTTCTGTCTCAGGTATTTTCAGTCAGTTCTCTCACAGATGATCTTCCATGACATGATGTAAAACTGTTCAATATCTTCTCTCTCAGTCTCCCTCTGCCTCTATTCCTCTCCAACTTTCCCACAGACACAGTGTACTACACTTTTCTCCTTCTCATGATATGACCAAAGAATGAAGATTGTCTTATTCTGATGGGGCAGTCACTTCTCTAAGTGAGTCAGTTTCTTCTAAGACAACTTCATTGCTATTTTCAAAAAAAAATCTATCCAGAATATTCTCATTATTCATCTATAAAACCACATCTCTGCTGCTTCTGAATAATTGCCCACCAATCATCCAACTATTCATGATTCACCACCATATACTCCCCATGTGAGTTTCCGGAGTCATATTATGGGGAAAACAAGAATAAATCCATTGTAGGAGTTCGACTAATTGGAGACTTCCTTTGAACGGCAAGGAACAACCAGCTGCACACAAATAAGCCAGTAATATTGATGTGCTTGCAAAACTCAGGCCCAGCAACGAAGCCAGAGTCCAAATGGACGAACAACTGGGGCTTTCCACTAGAGCTTACAGCCAGTAAACTAAGAAGAAGACCTCCCTATACCATGACATTTATCTACTTTTCATTAAAAATATTGGTCCAGTCAGCCAGCCTAACATTTATTAACACCTGTTAGCAGTAGTTCATTTTACCTACTTTCAGCTTAGAGTTTGGGCGCAGTCTGTAAGCTGACTTGTTACACTAACAACAGTGGATTTAATCCACATTGAAATTGTCAATTGTGGTCATTATTCAACTCTATAATGTCATCGTCACTGACGCTGGCTGTCGGAGAGGTGCGTGTAACAGAAGATTCCGATTTCAAACATTTTAAGTCAATTTGTGAAGGCACGGATGGATGGAAATTGGAAGTCAGCAAAAATCAGACGATGGTCTGGACCAAAGCTAATGAGCTTTAGATTTTAAGATGGTCAAGGTAAGTTTTCAACATTTTTTAAATAGTAGTAGCAACAGTAGCATCAGCAGTATGAGGGGAAATCAATACGTAAGTCACAGATGGTTATGGGATGGCAGGAAAATGTAGTTGGTGGTTTTTAAATGTGTCATTAGGTGACAGCAACATCAAACTTGATGTCTCTATTCGTTAGGTGCTGCATGCACATTCGCAACACAGAAACAAAATGGCAACTGTACTTATGAAGTGTGCCCTTAAAGTTCTTTTGGGGCAAAAGGGCTGCCTGCAAAGGATATTCATTAGGGAATGCTTCCTGTTTATGCTGGCAAATGTTTATCCCGTAAAGTTGTGCATAGCTGGGTAAAAACAATTTTCTCAAGGACATTCTAAAATTGTTGAAGAAATCTGATTTGGTCATCCTATTGAGATTGCAGATGTCGATAAACAGGAGGACTTCAATGAGCTGCTCTTTGCCGACGATCAATGCATATTTCACAGTGATAGTAAACAGCTGCAAGACCACATGAACCTACTACACGACAGTTGCCTCAAGCATCATATGAAGATTAATACTGAAAAGACAGAAGTCATGAGCATAAGTAGAGAGCAACAGACCATCGACATAAAGATTCTAGATCACAGCCTAAAACAAGTGCAAGAATTTAAATACCTGGGAAGTATCTTTACATCCAATGGTAAAATAGACAGAGAGATTGAAGCAAGAATCCAACAAGCCAACAATGTCGCATACCAGCTTGCCCCAATTTTAAAACACCCTGCTGTCCCAGCTGAGATAAAAAGACAAAATTATAAATACAATCTTTATACCGACATTAGGTTATCAATGTCAGACTTGGACATTAACAAAAGAACATGAGAGAAGACTAACCACCTGTGAAATGAGATGTTTGAGAATGGCTGCGAATAAAACCAGAAGAGATCGAGTGAGAAACGATGTGATTACAAGAACTATTGGAACCATACCCATCGTTAAATTTATTGAGAAGCAAAGAATGAAATGGTTTGGTCACCTAATGAGAATGGAACCAACGATGCCAGCATCAAGAGCATACAACATGAAAATCGAAACAACAAGAGGCAGGGGAAGACCAAGAAGAAGATGGATTGAAGGAGTCACGGACAACTTGAGACTTCATAACATCACGGCATATGAAGCGACTGAGCGCGCCCTTGCTCGGTTGCCGATCATCTGATAGACTGCGACGCCTAGCGGCACAAGCAGATTTTGACAAAAGAAGAAGATTGAGATTGCAACAGATGCATCCGTGCAGTGAAGGAATGATTAGAGGTGACCGGTGAGTAATGATCAACTCTGTAGCAGCTGCCATAGGGTGTTCACGTGGTTCAGTATACAATATAATGCCTGATCGATTAAAAGTTTTGGTCCACTAAAAACACACCTTGGTGGAGACATTTCACGAATGACGCAGAAGTTGAATGTGAAGTGAAAATATGCTTTTTAGAAAACAGAGCACGCTGTTCTATGCAGTAGGTATAGGAGGACTGGTAAAATGGTGGGACAAGTGTATTAATGTTGGTGGACATTATTTTGAAAAATAAAGGGACAGTGTCTGTGTAAAAATTAATTGTTTTCAAGTTGTTATCATTCCAGTATTTTTATTTTGTTCTGTTTAAACAACCCTTTGTGACTTACTTATTGACTTACCCTCGTAATAATTGTAGTAGTAATTGTATTAGTAGCAGCAACAACCAAGTCTTAGTAGCAGCAGTGATTGTCTTTGTAGTAATAGGTTTAGAGCAGTGAAGGGCATACTATGCCCAGTGGGCCAAAAATGGCCTTACAAAGTGGTGTTTATAAGCCCACGAGGTTGGTTTAAAATCACTGTATTATCTGACCCTTAAGTTCACAAAATAACAGAATACAAAAACTTATGTTTCATATGCACACACACAAAAAATCAACATCCAAAAAAGTTATAACCTAAAAAGTGATAACCAGAAACTGCTGATGTCGCTAACTCCTTGATCCTGCTAGTGAAATATCAGTTGGACAAAAACTGAGACATTAGGAGACCTTGTCTGTCTGCAAACTTTGGTAAAAAGTATAAAGCGATGACCACTCTTTTTCTCTGTACAGACACATTTAGGAATATATGTACAAGAGCTTTAATGGGTGAGTATGTCTGGCCAAAGGCTTAGTGAGGGATTGTATTCTTAGATTTCCTATAAAAATATTGTGATACGAGGAAGTCTGGGTGTTATGTTTATAATGGATTTTTTTCTGTATGGCCGGTGACCAACTAGGTTGGTAATTCTAAATTTATACAGTGGACAAAAAGAAAAAGGTTGTCCATCCCTAATGTAGAGTAATAGTGGTGGTAGCACTGCTGATAGTTGCAGGAATTGCAACATATTTTTTATTTATTTTTTGTTTTATGGAAGTAAATGATGTAAAACAGACACAGCATTATTAAGCAAGTCTCCTGCAACAATTGTTTGACGGCAGGTACGGGCTACATTCACAGACGTAGATGGTGCCACCTTGTATGATGTGCTGCATGACCCAAATTACAGGAAGACTTGGGACCAAACAATGCTGGAAGGAGCTGAAATATGTGCAATCAACCCCAACAATGATATTGGCTATTACGCAAGTAAGCTAATTTTTTTTGTTTGTGTGTTTTGTTTTTGTTTTTTTCTATTTTCTTTTGTTATTGTTAGTCTATTCTTCTCAGCATTCACTGGCTTTAAAATCTGGTGAAAGTTTCTGTGGCTGCCTCGTCTCTCAAGTGTATGCACTCCAGCTTTAAAGGAAGTAGTCCTAATTAGTTGCCTTTAGGATATGCTTGTTAGGGAGGTAGTGTGTCTCTTCCCCCCAACCCCAGAAATAGGGCCCAGGAACCCACAGAGAGGAATGTATGTTACTAAACTGACGGGTCGTCATAAAGAGAAAGTTAAAGAAAAACTTCTTTGCAATGTAGTTCTTAAGTATGGCAAGTAACATTGCAGAGAACTAGGACTAATTGTCTCATTATTCAGCCACAGTGACAAACTGCACACAGAATGTGACAATAGACTGGCTGGAACACAAAGATTGACTTGCAGTATGTCTAATAACTGTTCCAGGCTGTATTGTCTGTCCCTGGAAATCTGGTAATCTTAGTTTCAGCTTCATAGCAGATGGGTCACTCCATGGCTGCTCTGCTCCCGTGCCAATGAAAAACATGCAGAATGTCCATCACCGTCTCTTGTGGAGTAATTGACGCAGACTGCAGTCTCATCATATCCTCTAGCCTACAGATGTATTAAAAGCATAAGGTGACCATCAGAAGTGCTAACACAAACAGTCCAACATTAGAAATGCAGTTAGTTAATCATCGACGAAAGCAGCAGTTACAAACAGATCAGCAGTTGCACACACAATTAATTTTAATTAGGAATAGACCCACTGCACTCCTGACTGGCATGTCATAGAAGATGTCTAATTAGGGCTGAATCGTAGTGCATCTGCCTGAAAGGCCAGGAACCAGCAGTCTGCATACAACAAAGCCAGATATGGGAAGCAGATGTGTACACAGCTCAAGTTCTGGAACAAGACTAAAGTCCAGAAGTGGACAAACAACCAGAACTTCTCACTGGAGTTTACAGAAGGGGAAAACTAAGAAGAAGAAAAAGTGGGGGAAAAAAAGAAGTCTGTTTCATGACCATAACCAAAGGTGATAGGCCCACTGGTGAATGTAACAGTTCTTATCCTTATTTGTACATTACAGTTAAGTGTCCACCACCACTGAAAAACAGAGATTTTGTGACGCAGAGGTCATGGCTGGACTGCGGTTGTGAGAAAATGATCATCAACCATTCAGTGAATCATGCTGTAGGTAGTGTTCCAGGAATCAGCTGATTCTATTTTATGTTTACTTCATAATTTCATAATGCAATCCTGTAGTCAACTACCATGTTTTCCTGAGAAAATTAACTAACCCGAAAGTAAGCCCTAGCATGATTTTTCACAGTGCTTGCTGTATAAGCCCTACCTTAACCATTTTACTGATTTAGGAATCAACATTATAGCACACTGGGCATACCCACAGATGCTCCGTCTCCCGCAGTAAATGTCTTAAGGTGTAGATGCTAACTGCTCCCGTAGCATACTGATTATACACACGTCGTTCTCTTAGTGTCATACGCCTGTCCTTGCCCGACCCATTCTTCTTTCGTCATTCACACATTCCTACACATGTTATTTCATCTAACCTCGTGTCTTCTGTCAACTTTCCTTCATATATGTTTTTCACAGTGTTTTCCTTGTCCACTACGAGTGTTCCCGTAGCTATCACTTTTGTAGCCAGAAAATCTGCTCTGTCATCGCCCAACTTTCATGCCCTACTTTAAATGTAAGCCAAAATAAGATCGTCAGCCAGACAGACAGAATTTGTTCATGCGTTTAAACACAGGACGGACATATAGAATTATAAAGTAAGAATGTATAAATAAATAAAAACAAAACTTAAATTATCAACATTATTACTGTAAGCAAATTTAATATAAATTCCAATTAAGTATTTTTTTTTAAAGCCGGCATCTGTGGCTGCGGGTAGTGGTATCGAGAAGCTGACTGTCCAGAAAGCAGTGGCAAACTACTGAACATTTATTTGCCTTTAAAAAAAAAAACCACAACAGCCAAAAATACTGGTGTTGGTTCTGCAACGTCCTGTAAAGGATATGCAACAACTTAAAAAAAAAAATAATATATATAAAATAGGCCTGGCACGCTGGCTCAGTTGGCTAAAGCCCTCTGTGTGGCGACCGGGTGATGAACTCCAGGTTTATGCCCAGGGGTAGGCAGAAAAGCCACATTTCTCCCAGATTCACTGTACCTATCATGAAATCAAGGCCGAAAGGTTGCGATATCCATAGTACCAAGCCAAAGGGTCTACATCTACAACTCATGGTTTCTGGATACTTAAAAAAAAATATATATATATATATACGAGAAATAAGCCCTACAGTGTCTGTTGGAGCAAAAATTAAGTTAAACCTGGTTTTATTTTCTGGGAAACATGATTAGACTATCACAAATATGAGGGTGCTGAGGGAATGAGAGATAGGGAAAGCTAGAGATGGTCAGACAGTAAGGTAGAAAGAGAGGGAGGCACAATCAAACAGATATATATATATATATATATATATATATATATATATATATATATATATATATATATATATATATATATATATATATATATATATATATATATATATATATATATATATATATATATATACAAGAGGACTGAGGCTGGGGGAGGTAGAGATAGGAACAGACATAATAGATGGACAGACAGCATAGAGAGAGGTAGGAAGAGAGAGAGGGACAGTCAGATGGACATATATGATGAAACTGAGACTAGATCATGGAGACATAGGGACAGATCGAGAGGTGGTCAGACAGAATAGAGAGAGATGGTAGAAAGAAAGAGAGTGACAGTCAGACAGACATATTTAAAGGGGACTGAGGCTGGGGAAGGTAGAGACAGGAACAAACATAAGAGATAGGCAGACAGCGTAAGAGAAAGGGGGCAGTCAGACAGACATATAAGGGAGACTGTGGCTGGGGAAGGTAGAGACAGGAACAACCATGAGAGATAGGCAGACAGCGTAAGAGAAAGGGGGCAGTCAGACAGACATATATAAGGGAGACTGAGGCTGGGGAAGGTAGAGACAGGAACAAACATGAGAGATAGGCAGACAGCGTAAGAGAAAGGGGGCAGTCAGACAGACATATATAAGGGAGACTGTGGCTGGGGGAGATCGAGACAGGAACAAACATAAGAGATAGGCAGACAGCGTAAGGGAGAGAGGCCGGTCAGCATAAGAGAGAGGGGTGGTCAGACAGACATATAAGGGGACTGACGTTGGGGGAAGTAGAGACAGGAACATAGCAAGAAATGGACACATTGTGGGGGGGGGGGGGGGGGGGGGGGTTGAGGTATATACACACACACATATATATATATATATATATATATATATATATATATATATATATATATATATATATATATATATATATATATATATATATATATATATATATATATATATATATATATATATATATAGAAAGAGAGAGAGGTTGATTAATTGTTTGAGTGCTGTTGTCTATCCAGCGGTAAACATTGTTTTCCTCTTGACCCCATTTTAAACATTGTTTTCCTCTTGACCCCATTTTCTCTAGTCTTTTCTTTTCCAGCACATGTTGCCCATTTGTTTTCAGGTCCCGTAGAGACAGTAAAGGCAGCAGCACTGCAACCTACGAGAATGTCTGAAATGCTGTCTTTTCCTTTTTTAGGTTCTTCTTCCTCTTCTTCATCCCGTTTACTGGTTGTAAACTCTGGTGGAAAGTCATGGTTGTTTGTCTACTTCTAGACTTTGGTCTTGTTCCAGAATTTGAGTTTTATAGGCATATCCATTTTACAGATCTGCTTATTTGTATGCAGACTGCTGGTTCCTTGCCTTGCAGGCAAATGTACTCTGACTTCAAAGGAAACATCCCTGATTAGTGGCCTCCTACAACATGCTTCTCAGGTGGACAGTGGGTCTAAACCCCACCCTAAAAAGGGCCCTGGAACCACACAAGGGTAAGACTTAATATGTGGCTACCTCATCCAGTATAAAACTTTATAGGCTACATAAACTGACAGTAGGTGGTGGCACCACTGCCAATTGCCCTATGTATTTGATGCATGTGCAAGCTTTTTGAATTTTGATGCAACTGCTGCCTGAATTTTCACATGGGGCAGTGATGGGCTTTCTGTTTGATTTTTGGTTTGGCACAGGAAGGAAGTATTAATAGGATGATTCGTTTGCAGGGAAGTTAAACCCTGGAGGCTCCACTGCAAGAACATTCTAGTCATAATGTTAGACATTTATTTTTCACTACATTATCACATCCACATTGTTACTCACACCTGATTGATATTCTCTCTTTCTCCTTCTCTTCGCAGGCACGGCCATTGACAAAAGGAATGGTTAGAGGCATATCCTACTTAACCGGCTACCACATTCTTCAGCTAGATAAGAAGACTCAGCTAACGTATGTTTCACAGTCAGATCCCAAGGGTGTGTACTGGTTCATTGTTCGCCTTAGATGCCCTGGATCTATCTATCTAGCTTTGATCTTTATAATGTTCTTAGAATCACTGAGCAGACCTGTAATTGTGAATTAGAGCAGTGTTCTTCATCCGGTGGGCCACCGCCCATTGACAGGACCTGGAAAAATCCAGTTTGGCTGTAAAAAGACGTTCTGCCTTATCATGTAAAGCAGCGGTTCTCAACCTGGGGGTCGAATGACCCTTTCACAGGGTTCACCTAAGACCATTGGAAAACACATATTCACTGAAGTAGTAAAGGAGCAGCGAAAAAAATGTTTGTGGTTTGGGGGTCACCACAACATGGGAAACTGTATTAAAGGGGCACAATATTAGGAAGGTTGAGAACCACTGATGTAACTGGGTTAGGGTAGGTAGTTTTTATCTTCCAGGATTGCAGGCTATAGGATTATCACCTCAAGAATGAGAATCAAAAGATATTGCATCAGCTAAAAGTTGTCATTTTTGTGACATCGGATTGAAAAAATTAACTGACATCTAAATTTTGTTTCCTTTCTGTGTTTGGTGAGCTGTCAGATGGGTAGTGAATTAGAGGAAATAAACATGTCACAAATGTAATAAAAACATTTTTGTGACTAACTTTATGCTGCCTGGTGTCAAACCTGGACCCTTAATGCGACTAATGAGCGCAAAATCCTAGCAGCCTGGATAAAATATCTTAGAACAACTGCTAGGGTAACACGAAGAGACAAAATTAACAATGAAGAAATTAGAAGAAGTCTAGAAGCATAACAAGTCATACAGTATTTTAAAGAGTTGAGTCGAGAATTGACATCACAGCACTCGGAAAATTCCCATATAAGCTCTGTCCCCATCTTCAGCAGCCAGCAAAGAGTTCCAGTACTAATGGTACTGGTCGTAGTCTGGTTATACAAGGTCAGACAATTAAGTAATGAGACTAAGTCCATGAAAATTAAAATAATCAACAGTTGAAGATATAACTTGTGTTTTATTCAAAGTAAGCCTCTTGTGCATTGATACAGCGAGCGGTACGATCTAACAAACCTTGGAACGACCACTGTAGTTCTTCTCTTGTTATGGCTCTTGAAGTCGATGTTACAGCCTTTTGGATGTCATCAATATTGTCAAAGAAGCATCATTTCAATGGCAACTTTAATTTTGGGAGTATAATATAGTCACAGGGAGACAAATCTGGAAAATAGGGTGGATGGTTGAGAACACGCATATGTTTTTGGGTCAAAAATTCCTGTACAACTACCGCCCTTTGAGCTAGTGCATTGTCATCAAGAAGAAAAAATTGCCAGGTTTTGAATACTAACTGACAAGCAAACCTTTTTTCTTTCCCAAATCTTCCACTAGAATTTTACGAATAGTCTCTGTATTAACACCAAATACATCTACCATCATCCTCACAGTCAAACAACGATCTTCTTTTATCTGTTTTCTGAATTTTGCAATGAGTTCCTCATTACGAACAGAAACTGGGCGACCAGGTCTAGTTGCATTAGTAATCATTTTCACACCACTTTTGAATCGTGAATACCAGCTGAAAATCTGTGCACAAGATAAACAATTATGCCCATAAACTTGTCGCATCAATTCAACTGTCGCAATGGCCCTTTTTCCAAGTTTTAAACATAATTTAATGTTAGCTGTTTTGCTCCTTGCTGATTATGTAACAATGCCCCTCTGACTAGGTTAACAAAATGGCAGCTTGTTTGTTGTCTGCTTATCGGGTGGCGACGAAAAGTTGCCAGATCATAGACGAATGTTGCCTCTTTGGATTCCATGCTTTGTTTCATAGGTGGCATTTTTCTTGGCCATAATAAAATCATTCTCATTACTCAATTGGTGGACCCTGTATGTCAATCTTGCCTTTTCTCTAAGTGTAGTGGGCCAGCCAGACCCTCTGGTCACACCCAGTTGCATCATTCCCTCCAGGCCATAAAAATCCAGTTTCTTCTCTGACTTCGTTACTTGTTCCTAAAGGCTTAACCACATCTGCCTTATCATGTATCAGTTCACCACCTTTTGGTGAAGATCGAGTCAGTCTATCTGCCTGTTCATTCCTCACCACGCCGGTATGCCTGGAGAAAAGATGCAGTGTATTAAAGAGCAACAGATGAGATGGTTTAGCCATCTGATGAGAATGCCCTGGTACCTACAGCCCCAGATAGTCATGATAAAGAAATATGATGGACACAAAGCAAGGGGAAAAACCACATGACATGTGGGATTGGTGCCATGAAGAACAGCGTTAAAGACGAAATGAATATCAGCTGTTAATAAAGTTAGTTGCATATCCTTTGAGAACCGACTGGCCGAGAAGTTAAGAACTCTAGGCTGTTATGCCGGAGACACGGGTTCAAATCCTCGGTACGTTTAAGGAGTTTTTTTTTCTGTCGGGGCAAAAATTCAATCCCCCACCTACCCAGTCTGTCACACATGATAATCAACATCACACAGCATGGGCTGCACAAAAAAAAAAGATTGTTTTTCATGAGTCTTATTTTCACTGGGAAATAATTTAGAATGGGTTATACTTTAGGTGGTAGCTGGAGTAGTGTAATGGCTAGAAGCTCGCCTGCTGGCTTGAAGGCTTTGAGTTCAAATCCAAATCAGGTTGAACGTTTCTCTAAATTTACCTTATCTCCCAGGTCAGTCGTGTCTAAAAAAATAGGTACCAGGTGATGTCCTGGGAAGTAAAGGTGGCCAACCGATTTGATGACCCTGCGTAAAAAAAGGACCATTTGCGTAAATATTTTTTATTTAGACTGGGAAACAAATCATTTAGGCTGAATAATAATTTAGACAAAAATATTTGAGACTGGGAATTAGTCACTCCCTCATCTGTGTTTCAGGAAAACTGCCAGCTTGGGCGATCAACAAGTTGACAAGGATGTTTGCACCAAAGGTTTGTCTCATGTATTCATTTGTCAAAGGGATTTGTAATTTAAGAGTTAAATGCAAAGTATTTATAGCAACGTCCTTCCGCCTTTTGATACTTCCATACATGAAAAAGGACAAAATATTTGTAGATTGGCTAACTGAAACAAAGGTAAACAACATTTTATTTATTACATTTTGTGTTATAATATATTATTAATGTTATAAAGTATTTTGGTACAAACTTATGTGCTCCAGCATACTAAGAGAAGAAGTACAATCTAGAATACAATCTGGAACTATATTATGCAGCACACCAGCTAAAATCTTCTTGTTCTTTTGTTTGATTGAAAAAATTATCTATATTTGCAGTGCTGTCTCTAGTGTGAACTTTACTGTATTTTGTAATTCACTTAGCGGCCCGTAAAGTTTGGCTTCAACCAGTAAGCTAAAATCAAATTCTCTATCTTGTAACATCAAAATTACATTATGTAAAACATTGATAAGACCACTTGTCTTATATGGCTCTGAAACCTGGATCACAGTTAAAAAAGATGAAGCTTAGTACAAAGTTCTGAGAAGCCTTAGGATGAATCTTTGTACCCATCAAAAATGCAGTTGGGAATGGAGAACGAGAAGCTGCAATGCCATTGATAACTGTAAATCTCCAATAATCATTGCCATTGTATGGCTAGTAGACTGAAATGGCTGGGACATATATCGGGAAAGGCAGATAATTACAGAGAGGTAAAAACTGTACGTACACAAGGGAGTTGAATGGGAGTAGACCATGAGGCAGACCAAGAAGGTGGGGAGATAATATCCAGCACACCTATGCCTTATGTTCAGCTTGTTTGCCATTGCTTTCTGAATGATGTGATGCTTATCTCATACCATAGTCAGAGTAAAAGGAAAAGGGTCTGCAAAGCCCAAATTGCCTGTAGCTGACTTTGAACTCTGGTATGTCAGGATTGTGAAACAGCATTCACAGCCCCTAAGCCATAGATGATGTAATGCTAGAAACCAGTCATCATCATCATGTGCCATGCTAAGCTGTATGGGTCAGTGTGGCCCCCAGCCCTCATAGAGGTCTGTGCCCTTCTCATCTAAAAACCACAGGCAGGGAAAACAATAAAAAGTGCCAAGCTGGTAAATGTGTGTGGCCATAGTTCCCCATCTCCCACAATCACCAGTGTCAGATCAGGAGTATGCTTGGGTCCCAGCTATTCCCAACCATGTCATGGTCAGTCTCATATGACTCTGATCTTCTTCTGCAGGTCATCAGTCGGATCTACAAAGCTGCCAAAGGCTACCACAGCTGGAAGGCCAAGAACCGTCCAGAATATAAGCCCTGGCTCAACCCCGAACAGATGATGGCCACCCTCCCTCGATTCAACCCGGCTGACATCTGCATTGAGACCCTCAGAGCTTCCGAAGAATCTTTAGATGAAGAAGAGAGCATGAATGAAGCAGACTTTCAAGATGAAGATTGTTAACTCTTAACTCGATTGTTACTTTAGAATAGTTGTTTGAGTTTTGAATTTAATGCCAAACCTGCTAATAGTGTAAGTGGAATGGTATATCTTGAGAACCCAGAGAGCTAAAAAAAGAAAATAAGGGGAGACACACACATATATTTGGGGTACTCTGTGGCTAAAAAACGCTTTGCTTAAGCCATTTGCCTTGCATTCTGAAGGTCGTAAGTTCATTTCACAGATCATTCAGTTTACAAGTGCAGTTTTTACTGAGAGCCCTGGAATCTTTGCACAATTGTGCGATGCTCTTGGCAAGTGGTGTGCGGTTTTGCACAGATAGTCGGCACCATATCAGATAAAACCTGGTGCAGTGAAGTCAGTCCTTTCGACTGTAAAACTTTTTTTTCCCCCAATAATGTGAGTTAGATAAAAAAAAGTTAAGTAAAATGGGGAGGATTTGGAGGGAGCTTCAGGAGGTAGGAAAACGATAGCAAAGAGCAGTGGTTGTCCGCTTTTTTCAGGTGGCACCTGAACTGTCATCATTTTTACGATATTTTCGTTTCTTGACACTCGTGCCACTTGCTGAAGGCATACTTTCTATTTCTGTACTATCAGATTTATTACTGTTCAAAAATCTTTCCATTATCAAAGATACAAGAGCCAAAAATCACAAAACTGTTTATCAAAAACAAGAAAAAAGAAGTTATATAACTCTAACTAAATTACAATGAAGCGCTGAGCTTAACTTCACTAGACTTAAAGTGTAAGTCAACGTCCACTGGCTGAATCGAGCTGGTAACGCTTGCTTATATACTTTCCGCAAGATCTTCCAAATCTGTCACGAAGAATCTACACATCTCAACGTATCTAGTGCGATTGAGAAGACGCAGCCTTGCCAGCACAAGTTCGATATATCTGGCGCCCTTATTTTCATGCAGAATCAAACAAAAACAAATCAGGCAAACAAAAATCTAGATAATCTTAGCTTCTCACGTTTTTGTTTAGTTCGGCTAAATGACTTGTTTAAATTAATTATAAAGCTTTTACATTATTTTGCGGCGCCACTGTGAAGAGGTCGCGGCTCCCCGGGGCACACAGTTTGGGAATGACTGAGTTAAGGTAACACTGGCCGGGACAGCACTTGAAGAGTTTTCTCCTACTTTGCAATATTGTTCTTTAATTCATTTTTATTTTATTTGGCACCACGTTTTGTTTCAGTATTATTAATTGTTTTGTTTCTTTGATGACATGGATGTTTTTAATATTTTGGAGTGACTATATCAAATTTCTATATAAGAAATCAAATTTCATTATTATATTGTGTTGTTATTTTGAACTTTTGCTACATAATGAGAAGAGACAACTAGAACTTGTGACAGCTGGAAAAATCTGCAGTATGAGAGCTTGAGGAAAACAACACGAGAAGCTTCTTGACAGCTTTTTATCGTGGTTATGGAGGGGTGACTGCATACAAACTATTCATTGGCACTTGGCACATAGCACCTAAGTGTATTTTGAGAACTGTTTTTGTCAATTTATGATGTGCCAAATACACAGGTGTGAATTCCTACTCCAGATGGGTCAGAATGATGTATTACTTTTCACACGCCTACACAATTAATTTTCATTTGCCACTTCAGAAAGAAAAGAACAATTTTCTCGAAACAAGTGTTTAGCACTTGGGTGTCTTTTGCATAGTGTCAACATTTATGTGGTTTTGGAGATTGCAAAATCTGGAGAGGCATGAAGGGCATTTGATGATGATTGCATTGTTGAATTATACTGTTTTAAGTGAGATCATATCGAATCTGTTATTGCCAGTCTTGTATTTACAGTACGTATGTGGATTGAAAGACCAATCAAGAACTGTGGTAATCTGTAGCTTTTATTCATTTTTTTTTTTTAATTGACTAACGCTGAGCATGTTTATCAAAGTGCTGCATGTTTATATGTCTACACTGAGCATGTTTATCAAAGTGCTGCATGTTTATATGTCTACACTGAGCATGTTTATCAAAGTGTTGCATGTTTATATGTCTACACTGAGTATGTTTATCAAAGTGTTGCATGTTTATATGTCTAGTTTTTCACCGCTGAGAACCACATGGGTATACATGTCTAAGAGGAAATGAATGAGCTGATGGGCTTGCTGATAGTGTAACTGTGCAAGGCAGGCTAGCAATAGACCAGGCTAACATACTGAATGCTGTACAAGAAGTAAGATGTTTGCATGATTCAAGTGAAGATAGTCTGCTGCTTCTTCTTAGTGTTAACCAGCTGTAAACTCTGGCTGAAAGTTCTGGTTGTTCGTCCACTTCTGGACTTTGGTCTTGTTCCAGAACTTGAATTTTGCATGCACATCTATTTTACATATCTGATTTATTTATGTGCAGTCTGTTGGTTCCTTGCCACTCAGGCAGATGCATTCTGACTTCGAAAGAAACATCATTAATTTGGGGTCATTAACAACGTGCTTGTTAGGGGCGTTCTTGTCGATGTCTGTGGCTTAGCCATTATGAATTCGCTTCGTAATGCCGAGTTTAATCCCAGCTGCAGGCAGTTTGGCAGTAGACAGCCTTGCGTTGGTTTGGACAGTGGTATTGAGACTTGACTGTTAAGAAGCAGTGACAAACTGCTGAACATATAATTCCTAGAAAAACCACAAACAACTGGAAAATTCTTTTAGATTGAGTGGGTCGATGTGTAGTGAGAATGATCTGTTGATTAACTTATACAAAAATGTTCATGTGGAAAGTGTGAATATGATATGATCAGTCAAAAAAAAAAAAGAATAGTTTTGTCTGGAAAGATATGTAATGAATTTGTTTGTAAAATATACTTAACGATGTTAAGTAAACATTTTATGTGAATGATAATTTAATCAGTATCTTAATTCCTACCAGGCTTAGGAAAAAAAACAAAAATGAGTGTGTTTGATGACCTTTTAGTCTTTATAGGAGCTGCATGAGGAGGAGAAAAATGGAGAACATCAAGACAGAGGGAAAGTTAAAGGGGCAAAGAGGCAAAGGGAGACCAAGAGACATGCAGGGCACTTTGACATCATGGCATGGACTATGAAAGGTCATCTGTGTCAGAACTGATTGAAAGTACACAAAACAGGAGGTTTTGGATAGACATGACTACCCTCACCAGACAGCTTGGACTATGAAAGAGCATCTATGTCAGAATTGATTGAAAGTACACAAAACAGGAGGTTGTGGATAGCATAGTGGCTAGACACTGTCTTTCCAGCCTGAAGGTCTAGGGTTTAAATCTGCATCTAGTATTTTATTTTTTTATTATTTTTTTCCTTCAAAACTCCAGATGAGCCAGCCTAAAATGGCACCAGGTAACCACCTAAGAAGTAAAGAAGGCTGGTCTGATGTTGACCACATTACCCCTCAAGGGTTGACAGGTCTGTAAAAATGAGGGGCATCATATCAGAAGAAAGACCAAACCAACTGGTAAAGTACAGTAGTCTAGAATAGAAGAACACCAAATCAACTGATAAAGTACAGTAGTCTAGAAAAGAAGAACACCAAACCAACTGGTAAAGTACAGTAGTCTAGAATAGAAGAACACCAAATCAACTGGTAAAGTACAGTAGTCTAGAATAGAAGAACACCAAACCAACTTGTAAAGTACAGTAGTCTAGAAGAACACCAAATCAACTGGTAAAAATGCAATAAATATTCCATATTAGAGGGGGAAAGACCAAACCAACTGGTGAAGCACAATAGCCCATGGTAGAAAAGAAAAGACCAAACCATCTGGTTAAGTTCTACAGTCTGTGGTAGAAGAGGAAAGGCCAAACCATCTGGAAAAGTACAATAGCCTGTGGTATAAGAGGAAAGACCAAACCATCTGGTTAAGTTCTATAACCCGTGGTGGCAGATGAAAGACCAAACCAACAAAATACAATAGCCCATGGTAGAAGAGGAAAGACCAAGCTATCTGGAAAAGTGGGCTATCCTCTGAATAAGGGCACATATTATGGCAGCCAAAAACAGGGCCTCAGTTACGTGTCAATTGCGCACTTCCAGCTACCTAATTTGCGGTTTTCCGGCGACTACCGCCGAGAGTATCCCCCACGCCACGTGAGCTAAACTAGATGGCTGGGACTCACGAGCAAAGCTGCAGGAGATGCGGAAGCTGCTGCTCGTGAGTCCTAGCCATCTAGTTTAGCCCCAATCCACACCGCGTGAGTGGCATGGGGGATACTCTCGGCGGTGGCAGTAGTCGCCGGAAAACCGCAAATTAGGTCACCGCAAGTGCTCAGTTGACACGTGACTGAGGCTCTGTTAGGGTGTTTTTGCCGCCGCCATAATATGTGCCTGTTATTCGGAGGATAACTGAATACATTACCCTATGATAGAGGAAAGACCTAAAACAAGTTAAAAGGATTTCTTTAAACCAGATTTTGTGGGAAGCTTCCCAATTTCGGTGCTTTATTAATATCCTACCCCAAACAGGGGGAATCCCCAGGTCATGGGACTGTCTACAATTTCAGGGGGTGGTAAATAGGCTGCATGCAGTCGTGGGACCTAGGCTGCATGCACTTGTGGGATCTAGACTGCACTCGCTCGTAGGATGTCAGTGAGTTGGGGTTAGGGCCAGTTTAGATGTTTTGGGGTCGTTAAAAGCATCAAAAATCAGGAAACCCAGTCTTACCACCCTCTAGAATGTTGGACTGTCCTGTGACGTCATCTGGGGTCGGATATTAATAAAGCACCCTAATTTCTTTATATGAGCCTGGTCAGCATCCTCCTGTCTTCTCTTTCTTATTTTTAGCCCTTCTCTGAGAAGGCTGGTTATGCAGTTACTACCCAGGGATCATGGAACAGCATGCCCTGTTCCACCTTACTGTGTTCAGTTCTTCCTCTTCTACCCTGGCATGTCGAGGTCGCTTACCATCTTGTTTAATCCTTCCTCTCCTACCCTGGGATGTATGTGAAATTCACCCTCGTCTACACTGCTCTTTTGTTTACCAATACGTTTTTTTTTTTTTACTTTAAAATAAG